TTCTTTCTTCTGCCCCCTACAGCTGGCATCAGTCAGTTTCCATGACACTTGCTTCAGAACAGAACTCTTGGACACTCTACATTTTTTAATTCTCAAAGGAAGACAGACAAAACTTCGTCAGAGTGACTTGATAATTGGCTTCGTTAATGGTCCCAGTGTGAATCAGTCATTTCCAGCAATTTTTTAAATACTATACTGAGTGTTTTCTGGGGTTCTGTGCATTTTGGGGCTCCCGTTGGATGGTAACTATCTGGGAATTCTTGCTATTGTTATTACTTTGATCAGGTTGTTTTCTTTTTAGGGTTGTAAAAATATATATGGACTCCTGGTTTGGCCCTGTAGGATCAGCACTGGACTGCAAACCACAGGGTTGGCAGTTCAAACCCACAGCTGATCCTCAGAAATCCTAGACAGTTTCACTATGAATCAAACTGACTCAATGGCACTTAGCAACAGCAACAAAAACAAAGATATATATAATACAACATTTGCTGATTCAGCAGTTTTCAGATGTACAATTTAGTAATACAGATTATATTCATCGTATTTATTACTCACAATCAGTGCCAAACTTCTCATCTCCACAAACAAAAGCACACTGATTCCTAAGGTTCCCCTGTTACCCTCCCTACTGCCACTCATTAGCTTTGGTCTTCCTATTCATGTCTTTTCATATAAGTGGGATCATAAAATAAGTGTCCTTTTGTGTCAGACCTACCTCACTCAACATAATGCTTTCAAGGTCCATCCATGTGGTAAAATGCATCAGGACTTCATTTCTCTTTGTGACTGACTAGCAATCCATTGTATTGTTTGTCCATTTATCTGGTGATGGACATTGGGTTCCATCTTTGGACTTTTGTGATTAGTGCTGCAGTGAACAGTGGTGTGTGTGTGTCTGCTTGGGTCACTGTCTTGAAGACTCTTGGATATATATGTGTGTGCAGTAGCTCAAATGTATTGAGATGTACTATAGGAGGCCACTGACTAAAATTTGGCATGTATTAGTTCAAGTCTCACAACAACCTTACAGGGTTAGATACCACTCTGCCCACTTTTCAGGTGAGGAGATAGAAAGCACTGGAAGGTTAAACAGCCTGCCCAGGTCACACAGAAGGAAGTGGCAGAGCACTTGATTTCTGTGCTGTGCTGTCCCCTTCAAGGTATCTAATGCCTGTCACCTGGGTTGCCAGGTTTAGTTCAAGTGAGACTGTCTCCCACCCTCAGTGGCAAGGAAAACTGCTCAGGAGCTCTGATGTTGGGGAGGTTTCCACACACTTCCAAGTGACACACAACTGTTTTTTCCATTAGCAAAACTCCTCCTAGACCCACTCTGGGATATATAATCAATCTGCATGTTTCTAATTTAAAAACTATAGAAAACACCCTTCCAAACTGTTTGAATTAAATCTAGCCTTAACGAAGCCAAGTCTGTATAACCAGCCCCCTGGAAAGACAGAATGCTGCCTCTTCAAGTCTAAGTGCTTTGTAATCATTACTCTATAAACTGAAAGGAGAGCTAACCTTTTCTCTAAACAGCAAAGCAAGCAAAATTCCAGGATGCTGGCCAGGAGATACAACTTCTGGAGAAACTGTTCCCTATTTCTTTCACTTCTAAAAGCACAGGCTTGCCTCAGGGGCTCTAGACACTCACTGTGCCCAGGAAGGTGAAGAGCAGACTCTTAGTAGTAATACAGGAGCCCTTGGGTGGCACAAACTGTTAAGTACTAACTGAACGGTTGGTGGTCCAACCCCATCCAGAGATGCCTCAGTAAAAAAGTCTGGTGGTCTGCTTTTGAAAAGTCACTTCTTTGAAAATCCTGTGAAGTACAGTTTTATTCTGCAACACACAGTGTTGCTATTTGTCAGAACTGACTGAAAGGCAACTGGAAAGTAGTTTAAAAAGGTCCCTGTTTCTAATGAAGTCCTAGTGTGGCGCTGTAGGATCAGCACTGGACCTCAAGGTCGTTTACACTGCAAGGACGGCAGCTCAAACTCACCAGCCATTCTGCAGAAACCCATTACAGGGTCTCTGTGAGTCTTAGGAAAGCTCCCTGGTGGTGCTACGGGCTAACGCTAGGTGGGCAGTTCAAAGCCACCAGCTGAGTTTGCCAAAGATGAAGCTGTCTGCTACTGTAAAGATTTACAGTCTCAGAAACCCTGTTTAGGGTCACTATAAGTTGAAACTGACTTGACAGCACCTAAAAACAAGAACAACATTTCTTTACTAGATAAGAAAGAAGATGATGCGTGGAAATGAGATCTTTAGGTAGACAGAAAGATATTTGTACCAGATGGCTTTAATTATGTCTGAGGAGTGAGGGAGTTGGAGTTTACTAAAGAAAGCTTGAAAACCAAAACCCAAACCCACTGTCATCAGAGTAGAACTGACTGCCCCATCAGGTTTTCAAGGCTGTCAAACTTTATGGAAGCAGACTGCCAAGTCACATCTTTCCCCATGGAGAAACTGTTGGGTTCAAACTGCCGACCTTCTGGCTAGCAGGCAAGTGCGTAACCACTGTGCCACCAGGGCTCTTGAAGAAGACTTGAGGAGGGAAGAAAATGTTTAGGACAGATGTTAAAGGCAACATGGGGGAAAATCCACTGGAAATGTCTTGGAGAAGTGAGGGCTGTGTGTGTCACACTAAATTGACACTAGTTGTAGCAGACTGTGCTTGAGCAGAGAACGGGGTTTCAGACTAGTGTCAGAAACTCAGACAGTCGTCTTCTGAACTGACTCCCAAACTGCGTCTTGTTGCTGTTAAGAGCCATCAAGTTGGTTCTAACTCATAGCGACCCTGTATAGGATTTCCAAGAAGGGGCTGGTGAATTTGAATCACCGACCTTGTGGTCCAGCACATTATCCCACAGCACACCAGGACTCCATGATTTATCTAGGCTCTGGTCATTTCAACAGCTACCCTTTGCCTGCAAAACAATCTACTCAAGACGTTCATTTAGCATGACACTCAGGCATTTTACCATCTGGCCCTCACCTATCTCTCCAGCCCCATTATTTGTTTGCCTTTTGCCCTTATGAATTAATCGTAGTCCTCTCTAAGCCCCAGGTACTTTCAGTGCTTGTAGGCATCAATCACACCACAACCAACAAGTTGCCTTTGAGTCAGTTCTGACTCCTGGTGGACTCATGTGTGTCAGAGTAGAACTGTGCTCCATAGGGTTTTTCAAAGGCAGATTTTTCGGAACTAGCCTGTCAGGCCGTTCTTCCACATGGACTTGAACTTTCAACCAGGGACTCACAAACACCATCCAGGAAATCATAGCCTCCCCTGAAATTCTAATGCATGGATAGCAAGCAAACGTTCATTTTTTAAGATCACCTCCTCCAAGACACGTTCCATGATTACCTTAGCAAAATTGATCTCTCCTTCTCTCAGACCAACCTAACATCACATAGCACACCACACTCCATCATTTCTAAGATGTAACCTATTTCCAAGAACTCTGTTATTGAAGAATCGTGCTATGAAGCACAATTTTAGACCACACACACACATACCAACCATCATAACCACCACCATCACCACCAACCACTAGCATCACCACCACCATTACCACGAACAACAATTATCAGCATCACCATCACCGGCATCACCACCACCACCAGCAACACCACCATCAACATCATCACCATCATCGCCAGCATCACAACCATCACCACCAACACCAACACCAGCATCACCAACACTACTATCACGATCACCATCACCACCATCACTACCAACAACCACCAGTATCACCACCACCACCATCACCAACAACAACCATCAGCATCACCATGACCAGCTTCACCAACAACCACCACCACCACCATCACTACCACCCACCACCATCACCACTACCACCACTACCACCATCACCACCACCACTATCACCACCATCACCATCACCACCATGAGTTGGAATTGACTGTAGCAACTGGTATATGATATGTGTTAGACTTCCAAAAGAAACAGATGAAGCAATAAACTCATCACTGTCACTGGGTCCTTTCAGACTCACAGTACTCACAGCCCTATGTACAGAGGCTGTAAATCTTTATGGGAGCAGAAAGTTTCACCTTTCTTTCTCAGATCCACTGGTGGATTCAAATTGTTGACTTTCTGATTAGTAGTCCAACATGTAATCCATTACGCTACCAGGGTTCCCTGAATGAAGCAACACTCCAGGTCAAACGTTGGAAGCTGAAGATCTTGAAGATATTTGTGAGCCTACAGCCATTAGGCTAGTTACAGGCAAGATCAGGATTAGAATCCAGACCCTTGTGTTTTCAACATTCCGCTCAGGCTGGGAAACAGCTGCCAGGCTGGCTAGCTAAATTGGCTAAAACATTTGGATCTTAAGAGGAAACTGCCCTGCAAATATGAGCTGTATGACTTAGCAGTAGTTTAGTATTAGTATTCACGTTTCAACACCCGGGCCCAACCCCCTCTCATCCCACTTTATGAGAATTTAGGTTGACTCTTTAAAACCCCTGAGCTCTGTGGGGAATTGGATTTATGCAAAAATAATTGTGATTCATGTGTGTAAGCGAACTTTAAATAAATGTAGATGATTTCGTCATACCAAAGACAGAGGGGACATAATAAGTGCATTTAAAGCTCTGGGGAACGAGTTATTAATTTGGAAGGGCGGCTGGCTGCGGGGGGCGGGGGTAGACGCGCAGGACAGCTGTCTTCCATCTCTGGAGCTACTCACGTGGAAATAACCTTCAGATGATGCAAGGAGTAGGATTTATGTGCAGAGCAGAGTTCCAGAAGACCATTTTGGCAAGGCCTCACCGCCTCTCTGTTCCCCGCAGTCAGGTGGACCCCTAGTTCCCTGCCTTGCTACCACCTCCCACCTCTTCTCTTCCCAAGGCCGAATCCTGGTGGGCAGCCCCTGTCAGACCCGCGGCCCCACACGGACTCCATCACTGATCCAGGCCCGCCCTGTGAGGCTACCGGGAGCCTGCAGGTTCCTAACCAGAGCAGACTCACCTTTAGGTGGATGGGGAATGCCCGCTCCTGCTGCAGGGGGCCCAGCAGCGTCTGCTCCACGCTGACCAGCTCTGAGGTGGAGTCCACCACGCGGGCCAGCGCGCTGCGCATCGCCATCCGAGCTAGGGAGCAGGGTTCGCGGATTCGGGGGAAGGGAAGAAACTCCGCATCCCCTTCAGTGTCTGGCGCCATTTCCATCTCGGGGGAGCCAAGTGGAGTCGCAGCACCCCCATTCCTGACCCTCGCTGTCCCCTCCTCACTCCCGGACCCAGGTCGGGCCCGCAGCGGGCCTGAGCGAAGGACTGGGGCGGCGGACACGTGGTCCGGTTCGCGCGGGTTCCCGGGGGCTCCCGGACCATCCCCCCAACCCCACTCTTGCTGCAACAGCTGCAAGGTCTGCAGAGCCACCATTTGGTGGCTGATGGAGGCCACTAAGGGCGCGTGGCTGGTCATAGCTTCCTCTGGCGGCTCCTTGTGCAGGTGGAGCTGAGGGCGGGGGAGGCGGGGGATGCTCCGGGTCGCTGGGGTCACATTTCTCAGCCTGCGGCTCTTCGTCCTCAGCTCTCGGGGTGGCTGGTGACCCGTGCTGACCCCTGCATTCGCTTCCAGTCCGAATGCCTAGCTGGGACCCGAAGCTTCCTGAAGCGCTGCCCGTGTGCACTTGCAAATCACCCAGATGGTGAGCGCTGCTCCTGCCTCCTCTCCAGATAATGAATCTACAGGGATACTCCGCCCCTATTGCCTTTGAAGGGTACTTTCCAAAGACCACTTAAGCCATGGGAGGGGCGGGGGGACGACGTGTAAGAGTCCCACCCGTGAACAAAAGTGTGAACACACACAATTAGATTGTAGTTGCTACTCTTTCTACCCATCCCCCAACTGAGGTGAATTTTCCAGAAACTTCTTGGAGTAGCCTTTAAGGTTCCAAACAAAAGAAAGGTGTGTTTGTGTGTCTCAGGGTTGTGTTTGTCCAGGGCGCATTTGCATCAGAGAATCTGACAATGGAGGCAGCACCAGGACACCAGGGCACAGCCAATTCCTGAACTGATGCCTGGCACCACCCCATGCCGGACGTGAATGGCTTTGTAGAAAACTCCCAAAGGATTTAAGGCAGCAAGATTTGAAGCTAAAGCCATGACAAGCCATGAACTCAGGGACAGCTGTACAAATATTTGCTGATTTTAATTAAACCTAACATTGCTACTTCCTTAGGAAAAACGACTGGCGATTTTATGCTTTGATAGTTGGAAAACCACTGATGTGCACGTAAAAAAACTCCCAACAAAAAAAGGCATTTGGGGAGAACAGTTAAGTCGGACTGTCCCAGAACAGTGTTGTGTCTGCTTTCTTCCTGTCACAGAAACCACTGAGATAACCTCCTCTTCAATCTCCAGTTGCCTTCCAGTCTAGTCTGGCTCCTGGTGGCTCCATGTGTGTGACAGTACAACTGTGCTCCACAGGGTTGCCAATGGCTATTTTCTTGTTTTTCAGATATAGATGCCAGACCTTCCTTCCAAGGCTCCCTTGGTGGACACAAACTTCCAAATATTTGGTTAGCAGGTTAGCAGTGGAGTGTATTAGCAGTAGAGTGCATTAATTGTTTGTACCACCCTAGATCCTGGTGTGGTTGCTGTAGGCTCAGCACTGGAATGAGAACCACAAGGTTTGCTGTTCAAACCCACCAGTTGCTCCTCAGAATCCCTATGCAGAATCGCTATGAGTTGGAACCGACTTGACCCCAAACACTGTAAAGAAGGCCAAAAGTGTAGGTCCATGACAGACAAGTGACACTGGAAGATGTCGAGAATGGGACTTCAGTCTTCCTTTAGAAGGAAGAAGAGTCCCTGGATTGTGCAAACAGGTAACACTCTTGACTACTAACTGAAAAATTGGGGATTTGAGTCTAGCCAGAGGTTCCTCAGAAGAAATATTAGCGATTGTAAACTCAATGGAGCACAGTTCCACTCAGATACACATAAGGTCACCATGAGTTGGGCTCCATTGATGGAAATCTTTTTTTTTTTTTTTCATTGTTTTAGAAGGGGGAGTCCACCGTTGATGCTGTGAGAGTAAAGTCTGGAGCAGGGCTTGGGTAGGAAAGTTGTCCCATGAGTCTAGTCATCTACAGAGACACAGGAGGGATGTGAGATCCTGTAAGGTTTCTTTCACTCTGAGATAATATGACTCCAAATAGTCCTCCCAGCTCTCAGTGCTTTCTTCGCCTACAAAAACAAACCTGGATGCTAAAGTAAAGAAACTCTTTCTTAAACAAAAATGAGTTCACACTAATTATAACTTGTTGTTGTTGTTAAGTGCTGTTGAGTCGGCTCCGACCCATAGCGATCCTGTACAGGGTTTCCGAGGCTGTAAATCTTTATGGGAGCAGAACGCCTCATCTTTCTCCCGCGGAGTGGCTGGTAGTTTCAAACTATTGGCCTTAAGGTTTGCAGCCCAATTCGTAACCACTACGCTACCAGAGCTCCTTTAAATCTGCCCATTGACAGAGCAGAAATTACTTTGGAGGGAAATAAATAGTTCCATGTTGATTAGATTCTCTAGAAGAGAGAGTTCCTTAAATTTATAATAAAAAGTAAAAAGAAATTTTTTACTATTTTACCCCCAGTCCTGAAATGTTGAAGTACATTAAGTTAAGCAGAGACTAAGTGGGAACAGCAAAAACTTACAGATCTCCAGGGGTGCTCCTCTTTCCAGATAAGCAGGAAATCCAGTTTCATAGTTCACCCTTCCACTATCAAATGGCTGACTGCAAAACTTCTTGGCAGATGGAATTTCAGCCAACAGCAGAATTGAAATCACTAGACACAGCCTGACCTGGGGCCCCACTGTTCTGAGAGCCCTGGGATCAACTGAGCCCTAAGGGGTATGAGAGAAGGGCTCCAGAAACTCATGGGACTCACAAGTGATACGTGCTGCCTGGCTTTTCAGATATCCTCTTGGGAGCACTGGGTTGTTCAGCAACTCAATGCTATGCCTGTCTTATACTTGGTCACCGTCAAGTGAATTCCAATTCATGGTGACCTCATGTGTGCAATGTTGGACTGTGCTCCATAGGGTTTTCAAAGCTGTGACCTTTGGGAAGCATGTTACCAGGTCTGTCTTCTGAGGCACCTCTGTGTGGGTTAGAGCCACCAACTTCTCAACTAGTCATGGAGCATTTTAACAGTTTACACAAGCCAGGGACTCCTCTGTCATTTGCAATGAACTTGAAATGGCTTTGTTTCCAAACTAGAGATATGATGTGCTAGCAGGGGAAATAGCGTTGTCTAAAACACCTCCAAAATTATGTATGCTGAACTTTGAGACCAGACAATGAATCACATACCACTAACCACTGTACTCACTATTTGAGACCACTGTGTAATAAAAGGCACCAACTAAAGGAGCCCTGGTAGCGTAGTGGTTATGATTCAGGCTGTGAACCTCAAAGTCAGCAGTTCAAAACTTCCAGCTGTTTCACAGGAGAAAGATGAGGCTTTCTCCTCCCGTAAAGATTTACAGCCTCGGAAACCCTGTACAGGGTCACTGTGAGTCGGAACCGACTCCACGGCACATAACCACCAACCACCAAAGGGTATGGTGCTGCGGGTTAATGCGCTGGACTGCAAGGTCGGTTTGAACAAGGTCAGCAGTTCAAACTCACCAGCTGTTCCTTGGAAAGCCTGTAACAGGGCTGCTATGAGTCAGAACTAACTTGACAGCACTTAACAACAACGCAAAAGGACAGTGTAATGAGCAGCTGATATATTTTGCTTCATAGCATCTATTTCACCTTTATATATATATATATAATACCATAACTCCCCACTAGATAGCTCATGTTGTCAGGGGGAATGAACACATTCCAACCCAGAGGTAAAGTGGTCATCTAGCCTAGGGCCAATCACACATCACATTCTCACAGTGAATGGCCCAAGTAGAGTCAATGAAACAATCATTTAGGTACCTTTTGGGTAGAAGTGGACTATAAATGAGAAAACAATGAAACTAGGAAAAGGTTTAGGCCCAAGAAAAAAATTACCAAAGTCCTCTTTATGAGAAACCTTACCTAAAATAGTTTAATTGGTAAGAATAATTTGTGGACTTGGATTGCTCCCATAAAGATTTACAGCCTCAGAAACCCTGTACAGGGTTGCTATGAGTCGTAACCAACTCCACAACATACCACCACCACCACCACCATTGCAAGAAGTTCTAGGAAGGATGGCTCCATGTTTGCTTAATTCACCAGCTCATGGTTCCTTACAGTTTTCTGCCATGTCATCCCAGCATTTATTTCCCCCACAATTACAAGATGCCTTCAGTGACTGCAGTAGTACCACATGTAGATGCTAACACCCCCTAAAGAAGCTATCTCCTCCTGTGTGTCCCTGTTCAAGAGCAAGGTGACATTTCCCAAAAGTCCCCAGCTGACTTGCCCTCACATCTCCTGGGCCAGAATTGTGTCTTTGTGCAAATTAGTCAAGGTCAAGAGGAATAGAACCACCATGAGAGTGTTGACCCAACCAGAATACAATCCAGGGGCTAAAGCTGGGATTAGCTTACCCTGAAGCATGGAGGATGGAGGATACTTGAGACAAATCAAGATTTTGTTAGTGAACCACAAGGATAGTGAAAGAGCACCATGAGGATTTAGTGCATTTTGGATTTGCAGGGGTGATTCTCCTAGGTATACAGGAAATCCAGTGTTGTGAGACCGTTCTTCTTGCTACCCATACTTCTGTGCATGTGAAACAGAGAAAATATAAGTTCTGGAGACTTTGCAGTCATTTTTGCGAGCTTAAGAGGAAGACCCTATCTACAATTGAAGCCAACCCTGAAAAACAAAAAATCCAAGAGTCCTATAAAGAGAAACAAGTTGCCTTATGACACCTGGTGAGACTCATATTTAGCTGCAACAGAAGTTGGTCCCATCTCTGAGTTTTTCAGGTATGTTGTCATGTTTCACCGTTATTTCCACTCATGGCAATTCTATGAACAACAGAATGAATCTTTGCCCGGTCCTACACTGTCTTCATGATTATCAGTATGTCTGAGTCCATTTTTACAGCTATTATACCCTATATTTAGTGCCTTTCAACCTAAGGGCCTCATATTCCAGTGCTATATTGGACAGTAGGAGACATGGTGTGGTGCTGTAAGATAAGAACTGGACTAATCATAAGGTAATAGGTTCAAACCCACCAGCTGTTCCCCAGAAACACTATATAGGGTTGCTATGAATCAGAACCAACTCAATAATTGGACAATATTATATTGTGATGATAAAAGTTGTACATCAACTTGGCTGGCTTATGATTCTCAGTAGTTTGGCAGTTACCATGTTCCATCTGATATAATGTAATCACTAGCATGATGAGCTCTGTTATGAACAGCCAATCAGATGAAAAGAAGTTTCCTCAGGGGTGTGGCCTATTTTCAATATATATATGGAT